TCTCATTTGTTTAAAAAAAAAAAAAAAAACAGATTTCTTTGCAATTTAAGATGACATCTTTGGATATCTTTTCTGCTGGAGATAGTGTTGTCCTAAATTTTTTTTTTACAAATCTTGCACATAACTTAGGAACGGTATAGCAGAAAATTTTACCAGTTTTAAAACCTTGACTTTTCCAAACCACAACATACCTTGAAAACAGTTATCCCCTTATGCTTAGATACTAGGGCTGAACAATATATCATTTGAGCATTGATATCGCAATGTGTGTATTTGCAATAATCACATCGCAGGATTTCATTTTTTATTTAGCAGGGCTCGAAATTGCGACCATTTTGGTCGCATATGCGCCCGAAAATTAATCTATGCGACCTCATAATATATCTGGGAGCATTAGTGCGACTGCAGATAATGGTTGTAGTGCGACCTGTTTTGATTTTTTGTAAAAACGTGCTGAATCGCTCTTCCCTGCCTCTATATTGGTTCATATTAGCTGTCATTCACTCAAGGTATTCCGCTGTCAGATGACAGGGAAGGAGCTTTTATGACCACGGGAAATGCAAACGGCTGAAGAGTAAAAACTTAAAGCACACAGGTTTGCAAACCCCACCTAAAGTTGAGGCGCAGATGAAAGCGATCATGACACGTCACGTGGTGAATAATGATCCGCCAGCTGAGATCAATCGAGTACGCGCTTCTTGGAGAAGGCGCCCGAATGTTCATGCGTCGCATTCACTGCGTGTTCAGCGCAAATGTCCGCTAAAAGTCTAATCTAATACTGTACATTTCATCGCCAAAGAAGCTCGCCTTTACTAAGTTTACACTGAAACTGCGGCTCATAACAAAGACCGGTATTGCGCCGATGGTTAGCGCAAGATTCCTGCTTTGCCTGCTCATAAATTGGGTCGGCTGACTCGCCAGCTTTTCCACTAACACAGAAAAATGAAGATCAGCTCAGACTGAACCTTTAAATTGACACAAACTGAAACCAAATCTTTTAAAGAGTGATAGAAGTGAGACTTTACTTTCTTTTGTCTATTCTTTTTTGAGGTGTATATTATTTTTATTTTTTATTCATTTACTGATGACTGCTTTGCAGCTTTCATCATTGAATTGAATGATTTATTATAATCTTTTGTTTGTTTTGTAGCAGAAATATTATTTATTAAGTTGACATGCATATATAAAAAGCAGTACAAAAATCAATATTTCTTACTGCAATGCTTTTTGTTTGATGCAAACTATACATTTATTTTTCACAAAGTAACAGACTTTTTATAGCAGATAACCTACATTCATGCACATTCAAGGCAGTATCATAATGAGAAATGGAATTCATTGTTACTATTATTGTCATTTTCATCATCATTAATATTCTATGGCCTAATTATTAGACATTCATTTTGGAATCATTGCACACAAATATCAATGTCTTCGCAGCATTAGTTTGATAGTTGTTTCTGGTTTTTGTCAGTCCTATTGATGTTGTTTTAAAATACAATAAATCCCTTAAAGAGCCCATATTATGGGTTTTTGAAAATTCCCCTCCATGTAGTGTGTAACACAGCTCTAAGTGAAGTGAAGTATCCAGCTAAGGCTTAAATCTGTAAGAATACAGTGTTTAAAACTGTTGATTCATCTATAAAAGAGTCGAATCATAGTGCTTCAAACGAGTCGCCTTGATACCGACTCATTAGGTGTTTCGCCATGACGTACGAACGAAACAAAGTTTTTCACGTGCACGCGCAAACCCGGGAGATTTCAAACCTGAGGCCCCGCCCTCTGACGCAGTAACCCAGACACACACACACACACACCCACAAACACACGCACACCCACAAACACACGCACACAAACATGCCGGTCGATTGAAGTCACACTGCAGATGGATATTATATTGAGTCTCTACCCAAAGATGAAACATCAGCATTATAACCAAGCAGTTGGAAACTTCTGGAAGCTACATGCTACAAAGAATACTTCATCTGAGTTTGTTAAAGGAAGGATCAGTAAAGAGTAACTGATGGACGTCAGGATGGGTTTCTTCCTACATTTCTCAAGTGTAAGTACGTGCGGTTAAAGTTGTTGCCTCGTTTACTCTAGCTTGCAAATGTATTTAGTTGTGATTTGTTACTTGTAACCGCGTGTACTGTATCAGGTTAACTGGATATATTATCTTATCGCGTGCAAAGTCACGTTAAAAACGCGACGCGTGCTGTTTGTTTATGGAGCTCCGTGCTAGAGTTCTGCTCCCGCGATTTATTCGGAAATGTATTCCCGCGCCGCAGAAATCTGGCGCGGGGAGAGAGAGAGAGAGAGAGAGAGAGAGAGAGAGAGCGAGAGAGAGAGCGAACGAACGAACGAGCTTTGTGTACTTTGTGCTGTGTGTGTGTTTTTATACAGACAGCTTGGCTGTCTGGACTGTATACTGGGTGATATTTGGTTGTGTTCTCCGCTCTAGCGGGACCGGGCGCGGCGGGCAGAAAACGGAGCGGGTTCTCAGGCTAAAACCTGGCGGGTGCGGGCTGAAGCGGGAGCGTTGTCATCCGGAGGTGTGTGTGTGTTTTTGTGTGTGTGTGGTATGGCGAGTACACGACTGTCTCCTTCGTTCGGTTATCCGTGGCACTATCCACTCGCCATAGTGTGGCAGCTAAAGTCCACGCCTACACTATCGAGCGTGTATGAACTGTGATTACTTTTTAAATTGCTGATTAGCTATTGGCCATTTCCCTCTCTGACTGAAGGCAGTCGACCAATCGCGACAGACTGTCATCGGCCCAATCAGCACAGATTAGCTTCGCGCTAAGGAGGGGTTTGGGAACAAATGAATCACTGGACGATTCATACAGGAGTCGCTGGGATAATTAGATAAAAATAAATGCAGATTATAAGACCATGAAAGTGTTTTTTGACCTTGCATGCATATTAGACTGTTGTTGGAGACCCTTACAACCAAGATATGACCTTATTTCATGTATAATATGGGCTCTTTAAAAAGCAATTTGCAGCGGTGCTCATTCATTTTTGGTGGGTGCTCCTAATTTTTTTCTGGTGCTCCTAAATTTATTTTGGTGCTCCTAAATATTTGAAGTTGGGAGCACCGGCGCTACCAAGTAAAAAAGTTAATTTCGAGCCCTGTTTAGCATTAAAGGATAAAGATATTAATAAATATTATTTTACATTATTTTATAAAATATTTTTTATTTTCCTTCAGCTTAGTCCCTTTATTAATCAGGGTCACCATAACAGAATGAACCGCCAACTCATCCAGCATACGTTTTACGTGGCGGATGACATTCAGCCGCAACACAGTACTGGGAAACACCCATACACTTTCAAATTCCCACAATCAATTCACCTATAGTGCATGTTTTAGGAAACCATTTCCAACACACGAAGAACATGCAAACTCCACACAAAAACGCCATCTCACCAGCCGGGAACCAGCGACCTTCTTGATATCATAGAGATATCATTGTGCTGTGAATACAATAACCATGCTATTTCATGTTTGATTGTTCAATTTCTATATTTCAATTCAGTTAGAACAATGAAAGACTTTTATTTAACTTTTATTTTTGCTCTACTTCTTGTCATTTGTTTATTTTATACAGATGAACCATCCACAATAATTACCCCACACTCTTAGAAATGAAGGTATAGGAGCTGTCACTGGGGCAGTACCTTTTCAAAATGTACATATTAGTACATGAAAAGTCTAAAATGCTACTACAAAAGTACTTTTTAGGTACAAATATTCACCTTTTAGGTACCACTGTGGACTATTTGGGTACAAATATGTACCTTTTAAAAAGGCACTGCTCCAGTGACAGCTCCTGTACCTTCATTTCTAAGAGTGCAGGTGATCTAAAGGAAATAAATCTTTACAAATAGATTATGCAAATAATCTAGGAAAATTATATTCATATTGCAATATGTATTGCAGCAAAACAAAATACTGCAATGCCAATTTTTTCCAATATCGTGCAGTTTTAATAGATACTGTAGGATTTGGGGCGTAAATCATACATGCATGTAGAAGTCAGGATGATTTGGGACTAAATAGATGGTACTATTCTATGAATTTCAACATCTACACTATTACATTTCTCTACTACACTATGAATTTCTCAACTATTTAGCAAGATCTATGGGTGAAACAGTTCATAAACGTATTCATGCAACTGGATGGTAAACAGACATGCAATATCTTTTAAGTCTGCATAACACTAAGCACATGTCTACATGGCACACTTGCCACATACAACAGATTTTTTTAGGATTAAATGCCATTTATGCACAGGTCAACCTGGTTGGGAGGATAAATGAATAGCACCACCTTCCTCCTTTTCTCTGGCTCTGTGCACACTTGGTACACTGTGAGATGCAGCAGGATTTTTAAACCACACGTATACTGCATATAATTCAACTTGGCACTACTCTGTACCTCCATGCACACAGTGACTGGCCATTTGCATGCACTGATTTTAATGTTTTGTTTGATGTACTTGGAAAAGTCATGTCAGCCACCATCACCTTTGGCTAACCTACCTCTGCACAAGCACAACCAAGAATAGGACACTGTATAACCACCAGTGCCTTCCTCGTGGCTACGAACTCGTCTTTAAAAATGAAACAATAAAACTACTAGTTTGAGATCGTGATGAATTCATCAAGCCAAAAAATGTCAAAATGTCCCTATTAGTATTTCGCCGGCAAAATGAGTCATTTATTGGAAAGAGCATGTCAATTGGGCCCTGTGAGGTGGCCTCCAAATCCCCACTATCTCCCCCAGATTTTTGCCTCCGGCTACCCGGTTAACATCTTTCTGCAATTTCTACACAAATCCTTCCCATATAAACGTGATTGGTATGAGAGAAGGTGTGAAGGGTTGTGGTTGCGTGGTTTGTCGTTGCTCATGGCAGTGCTAACATTAGCCAGACTGACTCCTTTCTATTCAAACACAGCAGCTGCTGCACGCTGACCAACCGTAACCATACCTGTCTCCGCCGGTCCCGTCTCTCTCTTCAGGTGTAACCTTGTGATTTATTCCGTCCAGAAGCTTTGCGTTCGGGCCCTTTGTTTTGTGTCTTTCAGCGCGTGTGTGTGAGAGAGGCCGGCTGTGGATTACAAAAGCTCGTGCTATGCTAGTTCCAGCTAGCCGAGCGGTTAGCGACCCACAAAACCCCTTTCACAGACGAGAGAGACGCGCTTCTCCTCTCCTCTCGGTCGTTTTTAACTCCTGGTATCTCTCCGGTTGCGCCGCCGGTGTGAGGTGAGCAGTAACGGGCGGTTGGCGGTTTCTCGTGCGCTCGAGAGAGGCCCCGCTCGCGCCGCGGCCTGTCGCACAATCAAAGATGGCAGAGCGCCAATCCACGAGAGCCTGACGTCAACACGTACAGACGCTGCGTAGCGCTAGTGACCGAGGAAAGGCCTAGACACAGCAGATGGCGCCATTTGTACGTTTTATCAGCCAGATTGTTCCATCTCTGGCACTGATTTATTTTTTATTGAAACGAAGTGATAATACAAAATTATACACAACGATTGCAGAGTGTGCATATCAACAAACTATTAGTGTAGATTCAGCCTTTTTTCGGACGTGACTTCTGCTTTTCAAATTATGGGTTGCACATCCGGTTCGGGAAACTTCCATTATTAGAGAACTGAAGCATATCACTTCAAACTAGATTCTTAAAGTTTGAGAACAAACTTTGAGGCTGGCTTGTGAAAGCCTGACGGTAATAGTTTATTTAGTTTAAACAGTTTTAAAAAGTATGAAAAGATTAGATAGATAGATAGATAGATAGATAGATAGATAGATAGATAGATAGATAGATAGATAGATAGATAGATAGATAGATAGATAGATAGATAGATAGATAGATAGATAGATAGATAGATGATGGAGGGATGAATGGATGGATGGATGGTGTGCTAGCATAAGTCAAACAAGCCAACCCCCGCTTCTCTACGATTTTCTGATACTGAGATATAGCTGCTGTTATATCGTTGCTAGGTTAGTCTGTTTTGTTGACTGATGATGTATCAAAGCTTCTTGCCAGTATGAACAGTTAAAAGCAACACCCATGTCTCTATCACACTGCAGCATGACAATATCAATCTGAACCTCTATAATGGCAGTCCAGGGGACCGTTGCTAGGGTGCCATATCTGGTTGTTAGGGGTGTGGCTAAAAAGTTAAAAGCTCATCAGTTATTGGTAGTTTGGTAGTCTGAGTTAAATGAGCCCAGTTAGAAGTCTGTGCGACAGTCTGATGTAGAGTTATGAGCTCACAAAGTTTGACCCAATGTAAAGTCAATGAGAGTCTTTTGCAGTGGAAGTCTATGGGACAGTTTCTAGGGTCCCAAAAGTGGTTGCTAGGGTGTGGCCAGAAAGTTAAAGCTCATCAGTTATTGGCAGTTAGATAGTCTGAGTTAAATGAGCCCAGTTAGAAGCCTGTAGGACAGTCTGAGGCAGACTTATGAGGTCACAAAGTTTGGTCCAATGTTAAGTCAATGGGATTTTTCAGACGGTCCCGGGACGTTTTTCGGAAAACCAAAAGTCGGATCAGTCGGAAAAGATATAGCAACCCGAGTCAGACCAGTTTGGAGGTCTGGTGTGAGTTTGGTGGTCAAAGCTTGAAAGCTCTAGGAGGAGATAGAGTTTAATTTTTAGTCTCAGAGGATAACAATAGTCTGGCTTGCTACACAAGCCAGCCTAATAATAAGACTGAATGGAATGACTTGAAAATGAGAGGTATGCTTACTTTTGTGTTTTGTTTTTATTGGCCATGAAAACAAAGTGAATTGGGTAAGCTGTCCGTAGTCTATGTGTGTAAATAAGTGTATGGGTATTTCCCAGTGATCGATTGCAGATCGAAAAAAAACATGCTGGATACAAGCTTGATGTTGTTTTCATTCATTCATTTTCTTTTCGGCTTACTCCCTTTATTAAACTGGGGCACCACAGTGGAATGAACCGCCAACTTATCTAGCACATGTTTTACACAGCGACAGCGGATGCCCTTCCAGCTGCAACCCATCACTGGAAAACATCCACACACACATTCATACAGACACATAAATTGCTGACAATTTAGCCTACCCAACTCACCAGTAGCGCATGTATTTATGGGGGAAATCAGATCACTTATAGGAAACCCACGCGAACACGGGGGGAACATGCAAACTGACCCAGCCGAGGCTCAAACCAGCAACATTCTTGCTGTGAGGTGATCGTGCTACCCACTGTGGTGCTCGTTTTAAGTTTAATTTCACACTATTTTCATGAATATATTTATATTTTCATGAAAAATACCGGTTACACCAATTGACACAAACCAGTTACACCTCCTGCAGGGGCGCCCCCAAGGGGTAAACTCTGGCCACCCAAATAGGATTTTGCTGTTGATATAATTAATTTAATGTGCTAATGTAAATTCCTAATATTTAAAAAAAATAAATAAAATGCACTAAATTATTGTTGGTGCCATTGACGTACAGTGTGTAGTTGATTCACTGCCTCTTCCTCTCAGCGCTGGTTTAACTCTGGTGAAAGCAGTTGTTACATTGTTTTCCAGTAACATTTAGGATTGATTTCTGTTATTTATTTATAATAATAATTGTATAATAATATTAATAATATTTGTATTTATTTAGAATAAATATAGTTAAATTGTTATATTTATTGAAAAACAAATCTATCAATTTAAGGTGGGTGGGGGGTGTATGGGGTGGTTGGCCCAGGGTGTCATTTAAACTAGAACCACCACTGCCCTCCCTGATCGTCGCTGACAGCAGGCACACACCTTCAATAGACAGCAATGCCAATTTAATATTTACCTTAAGGTACATCAACAGAAGAAGCTACATTATAATATTGTGGCTCAAAAAGGAATATGGATAAATGATATTATTAGGGTATGTAGTGTGAGTGTGTGTAATGCCTTTTGTTCAGTTTGTTCATTTGTTTTATTAATTAATTAATTAATCTTCATTAATTTTAAACATGGCATATACTGTATGTTGTACAATAAAAGTATGTGAAAAAGAGCTGAAAAGAAATTAAATATATAAAAAGTGTTTTTAAACCTAATATTGATTGATTTTTATTTAATTTGCACATGTACTTGCTCAATTATTTTAAGAAATAAATTGCAATATTTCAAGAGTAATTAATTAATTTAATAAATTAATTAAAAAAATGAAATAATGAGGTTTTAATAAATTTACTTGTGTGCAAAAACACTGAATCCAAAACAAATAAAAGTAACAACTAAAGAATTCAGACAAACATATTAATATTAAAGATCATACTCTATATGTTGAACATGCCCATATGTTAAGCATTGCCATTTTTTAAGAAATTAAAAAAAAATAACTTTTTTTATATAGATTTTATATAATACACTTGACTGATGTGTTTGGCTGTAAAAGCTCTACAGACACTTCTCTAAACAGCCACAGATTTTCCACCCGACTGTGCTTCTGAATTTAGAAAACTATTATTTATTTCTGTGAAGTTGTATTTTTAGTTAGTTCAGTGACTGGTGTTTCTTTTAGTTTAATTTGAATTTTATTTCAGTCAACAAATATGTTTTTGATCAACAATTTTAGTATGTGTTTACTAAAATAACCGTTCTAACTAGTATTATAGTACTACTATAATAGCAATGTTTTACATGCAAATGTACACAACTGAAATTACATCATACCTTTTATTATTATTATTATTATATTAAACAATGAGCATCTTTCACAGCTCTGTTAATAAAATTATTTTTCTATAGGTTTACTACACTAAAATTTAAAAGACAGCACTTCCTTCATTCATTCATTTTCTTGTCGGCTTAGTCCCTTTATTAATCTGGGGTCACCACATCCATCCACACTCATTCACACACACTACGGACAATTTAGCCTACCCAATTCACCTGTACCGCATGTCTTTGGACTGTAGGGGAAACCGGAGCACCCGGAGGAAACTCACGCGAACGCAGGGAGAACATGCAAACTCCACACAGAAACGCTGAGGCTCGAACCAGCGACCCCAGCGACCTTCTTGCTGTGAGGCGACAGCAATACCTACTGCGTCACTACGTCACCCAAGAGAGCACTTCATAGTTAAATTTAGACTGTGAATGATAATCCAGTAAAATTAAAACAAAGATAAACAGTTTTTTTATTTGTGTTATTTATTATTCTTTTTCAATACAACAACAAAACTTAAAGATATTCCTTCATAATAATATAAATATTTTTTATACTATTTAGATAAAATTTAGTATGCTCAACTGCTAACATCATGTATTTTACCACAAAAGTACATTTATGCATTCAATATACACCAAGAATTGCAACAAATATATTTATTCAAATGTTATTTGTTATATTTTCAATTTACAATAATAGCTAGAAGTCGTACAAGTATAATTTAACCTAATGCCATATTTTTTTACAGTGAACGTCGGTTTGTTAAAACCACACATCAATTAATATAATTAGACTGACACACAAAACTTTGTTTGAAATCAGCTTTAGTGAAATGTAGATTATGCATGATTTGCTTTTCCAAAGTTTAAGCTGATAAATCAAAGTAACAGTATTACAATAACAAATTCACAGAATTTACCACATTATTTTTCCCCTGCTCTATACACACACTGGTAAAGTTAATCAGAATAGAAGGATGAGATGTTAATTTCACATAAAGTATGTTTCTTACTCATACATAATCACTGTGTGGGCATTGGCAATGGTACAAACCCCCTGATCTTGTCCAGTAAAGCTGAAGGGTTTTCTAAGAATGTTTGCAGACTGGCTCTGCCGTAATACAGAGCAGACAGGAGCCCTGCAACAGACACTGAAAATATGAGTGAATGTGAGAAGCTCTGTGACTGTGGTTCTTTTGTACAGCGTGTTTTCAGAGGCTCCACCACTCGATCCCACTGAGTCAGGATGGCCTGACGTGCACCTTCCCACTGGCCTGGTCCATGCAAGCGAAACTGGTATGGGGTGCAGGGCCCAAAGATGACTTTGAAAGCCAGTCTTGGGTCTGTCAGCAGCAACCTCGGGATAGAAGGACGGACACCCACTTGTTTAGCCAACTCATCCATGTAGGGAATGTAGTCCACCTGGATGGTGTGCCTCTGGGCTGCCACGTACCTGCATGAAAGCAAGATCTAGAGTCAATAGTATATAGTAAAATTACAGTTTAACCCCAGAAACTGTGTTAATGTTGTTATATAATCATGTGATATGAAATGTGAAGGACCTTTGAGTCATTGCTTGCTCTTTGGCTTTAATGTCCTTCATCATAGCATTCTTTGAAGGCAGTTTACACAGTCCTAGTGAGCATAACACATGACAATTTTATGTATTTACACGTAATATATAAAGATATTTTTCTTTAAAACTAAAAGTGTATTTTATTTCATGATAAAAGAACACCTTGTATACCTTTAAAAACACGTGTGGCCCAGCGCGCTTGCATCTCAGAGATGGGCATAATGGCTCCCAGAGGCTGGATCAGACCAATCACTGCTAAAGTTGAGCGCTCCAGTCCTGGAGGATATACAAATTTGTACAGGGATACCTTGTTGTTTGAAACAGGGATCACATGTGAGGAAAGGAAGGGGAATGAGAAAGTGTAGCCTGTGGCAAACACCACCAGATCAATGTTATCTTCAACAGTGCCATCCTCAAACACCACACTAGATCCACGAAACTCCTGCACATTGGGCTTGACTGAGACAGTACCAGAGAGGATCCGGTTTGGCAAATCATCATTGACCATGGGATGTTGGCTGAAAATTCTGCCAGATTAAAAAACAGCAATATTCACCACAATGTTGAAGACAGCAATATAAGACAGTATGCTGTTTTTAACTGTAACCAGCATGATCTGAATGTAGTTCTTCAGTATTTACAGTACCTGTGCTCGGGCTGCAGTCCATAGAGCTTGTGGTCAAAGCGTTTGTTCAGACGACTCTCTCCCAGTTTGTTACGATATTTAACAGGCAACGAGTCAAGAAACCACATTACTGCTCTGTTATTAAACATCATATCGAAAGGAACGCCGCTGTCTCCCACACGATTGAGGATCCAGGATCCCTTTCGTGTGCTCAGATAAACCTGAAATTGAAGCCACATACACCTAAAATTGAAACTCTTTTCTTTTCATACAATTATAGTTGCAGTGAATAAGTTCTGATGCTTCCAACCTTAAAACATAACAGAAAACAAATATAATAAGAGTTCACCATATTGCTTTACGTTTTGGCACACATGAGTCCTCACTTAGAAATATTGCAGAGTTCTTACACTCAAGTGCCACTGAGCCTTCGCACTCTAGTTCCATAGACCACATGTTTCAAACTTAGTTCCTGTAGGACCACAGCTCTGCACAGTTTAACTTTAACCCATATGTCTCAAACTCAATTCCTTGAGGGCTGCAGCTCTGCACAGTTTTGCTCCAACCCTAAAGCCTGGTTTATACTTCTGCGTCAAGTAACCAGCGTAACCCACGGCGCATGCAACGCGCGTAGCTGTGCATTTATACTTCTGCGCGCTGTCTCTGTTAGTCTGCATTAACACTTCTGAAATGCTAATTGGCAGTGAGGTGTTAATGTTCCTCTGTGTTGAGTTTCTTCGCTGGAATTTTCCTTCCTGAATGTACAAGTAGCTCAAACTTGCTCATTTTGAGGTAGGAACTGGCGGACGTGCAACAACTTTAACTATGAGGTAAACACAAAACAAAACTTTCCATCCAGAGCTCCTTCACGGGACTCCACACCTGTAAACAATCGCTCCATCGGGCTTGCGCTTGGGCTCGGTCCCGCCCAGACTCATCACCGCTACCAAGTTGACCAAAGTTGACGCCAAAGTCCACGGCATAGGGCTATGCATTTACGCGTAGGCGCCGTAGCATACGCGTGCGCTTGACGCAGAAGTATAAATCAGCCTTAATCAAACACATCTGATCCAACTAATCAAGGTGTTCAAGACTACTAGAGACTATTAAGCAAGTGCGAATTGGAGGAGGTTGGAACTAAACTGTGCAGACCTGTGGCCCTCCAGGAATTGAGTTTGAGACCACTGCTTTAACCGCAGTCAAGCATGCCTGTTCAAACCAATTGAGTTCTTCAGGCTTGTTTGAAACCTACAGGTAATTGTTTTAAAGCAGGATTGGAACTAAACTCTGCAGAGTTTGACAACCCTGCTGTATACTAAGTGGGTTTCTCTCTGCTGCTCTGCCCATTATGTGGATATCCTTCCTGTGTTTTTGGATAGCACATTGCTCCACTGCAGTTGACCATCCAGAGCAGGGGTCACCAACCAGGGTGTCCAAACTCGATCCAGGCGGGCTGGTGTCCGGCAAAGTTTAGTTTCAACCCCAATCAGACATGACTGGGCTGGCTAATCAAGGCTTTCTATAAACATCCTGGGAGGCGTGTTGAGGCAAGTTAGAGCTAAAATCTGCAGGACATCAGCCCTCCAGGACCAATTTTGGACACCCCTGTCCAAGAAAGTTACTCGCCTGCAAAATTTAGCTCCAACCCTGGTTAAACACACCTGAATGAATAAATTAGAACCTGAAGCTGCACTTGATAATTACAGACAGGTGTGTTTAGTCAGGGTTACAACTGAAATCTCCAGGAAGGTAGCTCTCCAGGAACAGGGTTGGTGACCCCTGCTTCAGAGTTTGTTATTGTGACTCCACTCCAGAGCACACTTCTCTCCGTGACTTCAGAGTCCGGTCAGAGTGGTTTTCATCCACAGACAAGTGATCTTCCCTACTTGCCCCATCGTGGTGGTCCTATCTTCTGCTCCGCCTGCCCTCACAGTATCTGTACTTTTACTCAAGTACTTCATTTCTGACCTTCATCTCCCACTCATAATAATTCATGTAAGTCAAACATTTCACCTGTTTGGCCATTCTGCTTAACTCCACAGCAATATCTCCTCCAGAGTTTCCAATGCCAATCACAACTGCCCTCTTCCCACGCCAGTCTTCAGGGTTTTTGTAGTCACGGCTGTGAAAGAATTTCCCCTTAAATGTGTCTATTCCTAAAAAGAAAATTGGAACAAGATTCCACTGTAACGAAAGAGATATATACACATATGACTATTTCATCTGTGACTCATGGGCCCTGTTAGCAATTCCAACATTCATTATATGGCAGAAGCTCATTGGGCTTTGCTCTTTCTATCAGCATCCCTCTGAGACCCTTCATCTCCCCTAGTTCCACACATCTATTCATGCAGCAGCAAATAACACATCAAAATGTCTGTTTGCATATCCAGCAACATCAACAATAAGAGTAGAAGCAAACAGCGTAGCAGATTTAATGCACCAAGCAGTGGTGTAGAATTTAGAATGTAATTGTAAATGAAGTCTGCATGTCAATATCAAGGATGATCAGTGGAAACAGCAGCACTTGAGCTCAGTTTTTTAGAGTTATGTCAAAAGCTAATAACTTGCTAATTGGCTAAAACAGATGGCAATTGATCTTATTAACTACTCTCAAAAAAGGCATTTCATTATTACATTTCATTGAAAACTAAGTAAGTTCTGTCAGATCTGGCCATTATCTAGACTTATGGTTTCAATCATTTTCTATTGTTGTGAGGCCTTTAGTTTACTATGGGTGTCTGCTTTTGAGTTTTATTGACTTAACGTTGTTGTACTTTGCACCAGATCTGTTTGCCTGATTTGTCACTGCACCTGGAAAGTCTTTTAGAGGAAGGTGGGGGTGACAGTGGTGACCAGTGCAGACCATCACAGCATCAAACACCTGCTTCTCTCTTAGACCATCCTTAGACTCGGTCTCTACATCCCACTGTCCAGAGTGAGGGAAGTCTGGCCTTGGTGTGACATGAAGGACTCTGGTCTGAGAAGCACAAAACATGACTTTTTAAAATATATATATATAAATATTTATTTATTTATATTAATAAGTTTACCCCTTTTAACAAGCAATAATAATTGTCAGAACCTGGAAACGGATGTGCCGTTTAAGTTGGAAGTTTTCAGCATACATGCGGAAGTATTCCATGATGAGGGAGTTGTGCATGTAGTTTGGGAAGTGAGCTGGGATTGGGTAATCACTGTAGCACATCATCTCCTTCGAAGTGTTAATAATCAGTGAGTGGTAAATGCTGGCTTGGTCTAGATCTGGATTTTCCTTAGATGGAAAGGCAAAATGGATACTGGATCAGGTTATCTCTTGACTGTTGTTTTGTGTAATGAGGTGTGCCTCAGGGTTTAATGATGAGCCCTCATCCTTTTATTATATGCACAAGTTTAATAGGCTCAGTCATGTGGAAAATCTTACCTTAAACCTCCAAAGACCTCCGATATCATCACTGGTCTCAAAACACACAGGCTCCAGCCCTTCATCCAGACAGCATTTGATGCAGGCCAGTCCAGAGGTTCCTCCTCCAATAATAGCAACACGTTTAGCCATGATGATCCACAACCGTTAGATTTTAGGCATGTGCTGGAGACAGTAATTAATAATGAAATATATAATTATTATTGTTGTTTTTTAGTGGGGGGCAGAGCGATGTCACCTCACAGGCAGTAAGGTCGCTGGTTCGAGAACCGGCTGGGTAAGTTGGCATTTCTGTGTGGAGTTTGTCTCTCTGTGTTTGTGTGGGTTTTCCTCTGGGTGTTCCTCTTTCCCCTACAATTTAGCTTTCCTCTTGGGTAAGCAAAATTGTCTATAATGTATGTCTTGGTCCTCCAGGTTGGGGGTTGAGCGTTGGGCTAACGACCCATCTCATTAAAAATTAGATGTTACTAAACACCAACAGAGTTTGGCTAAATGTCAACTTCGATATAAACATCCCTGGGAGTAAGTATTTTTTTTATAGAAAGAAGATTATAGCATACCATTAAAGCAAAGTTAATTGTTATATATGATAACGTTTTATATGGCCATTGTTACTTGTGGTGCAACCAAGGTAAGTGGAGGCCAATCTATGTGCAACCAGAAACATTTTTTTTTAATGATCAAAAAATTGATTTTAATTACAATTCTATTGATATTGCAATTAAAATAAACCGAATCACAGCAAAAATACCTACCTAAAACAAATTTTAAATTAGAAAAAGATTCTCTTTTGTTTTTTATTTTCTTATTTTTTATATATTTTTAGGTACAGTATTTTTAAAATACAATTTTAAGCACACATTCAAAACAAATATGCAGTTCTTTCTGACGATACCCTACGAAAGGTTAAGGTCTATTTTTCTTATGTAATCCTTTAGGTAATGTATACACTACATATGCGCCACTAATGGTTGTAGCCATATGGCTCTGTTACTGCACAGTCCTTTTGAAAGACTGCTGCGTCATCCCTAGGTCAACACATGTGGGAATGTATATTACAGTTGACATAATAAAGTACTGATGCTTAGTACACACAATTATCTGAAGCATAAAACATTTAGATGAAATAACACATCATTTTAAAATTAAGCAACAATTAAGTAATATATAGTTTAGCAAACTTTAGTCACATTAGTGTAAATGCAAAGTATGTTGCATTGTATCTTACCAACTGTGAAGCTGTGGGTGAAGAAATTAATGTATAATGGTCACTTCAGAGAAATATTAACACTCACCACTCCCCTTGTAGGGTTGTAAAAGGGGCGGAGGTTCCTGTCATTTTGACTGGTCAATGTTCATTTGGAAAATGCTGACATTTAATTTTATGTGTTTGCCTTTGCACTACATCTCATGGTCACAGTCTTGATAATCACATGCAAAAAATACAGATGGAAAATTAAGTACCATTAACATTAAGTACCAACAAAAATAATATAATTAAACTTAAATGTAATTTTTATTAGTACATTTAAAAATATTTTCTAAGGACATAAGAACCTGTAGTTTAGAACAACTAATTGGAGCAGAAACAGAGGTGGAGCCCAAAACCAAGGATTGCCTGGATAGACAAAGGACCCTGGTGAAGCCAAAACCTACAGATGGATGACAGATTACACCGGAGCAGGGGGGTCAATATTCCAAGGCAAATTGTGCCTGGTTTAAAGAAGCATCAAGATTTAAACTCATACGACAACTCTAATGACCACAGTAGTTCTGTAGACCAGATTGTGGGCATGGGAAGAATGGTGGACCAAGGAGTGATCAGAGTAGCCGATATGTCAGAGGATGATGAGCAAGAAAAGAAGTAAATCCAGAAAGGAGTAAGAGCAAAACAAGAGAATGGTACCAAGAGACCTATCAAGCAGAGGAGAACCAGTGGGTCTGGGACAGAATTGAAAAGTGGGTACAGGTAGACAATCCCAGCAGAGCAATGCAATATGTTGGACCAAACCAGCAGGGTAATGGCTTTATGGGTAAGGGCCGGCTCACACTGTGTGATTTTGTATAATCCTGAACCAATGTTGCATGTCAGACTGCACGAACATGGCTCTCATGACACACTGCAAGATCTCAGTTGTCATAAAGTTTTTAACAACAATGAAGATTTGCCAAACACGGAAGAAAAAGCCTTCGGAGTTTGACGTCATCCACCCATCACACTTTTACTATCCTGCATTCTGAAATGATTCCTTACAGCAAACGTAAACAATCTGTAGCGGCAATTTTGCACACAGTGCGTCTAAATAATATAACTAGGAAGATTAAAAAAACTGTTGTGACATTTTCCGGCTGTCATTTGAATTGTCTTCTGAAACTGACAGAACTTTATCGGGAAAAAAATCTGATCTCAAAGGGCGCTAAGCGGCTGTCTGTTAACATGTCAAACTAATGATCAAAGATTTTTTCCTAAGGTTTCAGGAATCTTTTAGGAATTCTCAAGTTTGTCTCAGATAACAAATTTGTAGCTGAAATCTCCTAGTGTGAGCATGGCTTAAAACATAAGTGAAGAATGCACAGGTCAGTGAGTTTGGGCTCCATTGTGGCTGGCACTGCCTCTGCCATGGGGATGTTAGTAGGTGTTATCTATGGACATAGCCTCAGGCTGAGACCCAAGGTATCCCTAAGAATGATAATAGATGACAAAAGGTCAATAAGGTCTGGGGGAACCTATGGGTGTGGATTCATGGAATCAGAGGATCAAGGCAAAGCTGAGGAATCCACTGACTGAGGCAGAGCCGATGCTTGGAAAGCCCATGGCAAGTCTGAACAGCACAATGAAGCCACAGGAAAAGAACCTGAGGGGATTAAGGAATAAGGCAGAGATGAGGCAGCAGAATACCCAAAAATAGAGGAGGCTCGGTTGGACCATTCATGACAGAGATTTGGAACTGGACAAATGAAACAGGAAACAAGATAGAATTAAGGCCCTGGTATACTTCAAACAAAGTTTTATGTTCTAACTGTGTCTTCCTGCGTGAGTAGCCTACTGCTAAACACAACAACAGCAGCTGAGAATAACTTTCATAGACAGACTACCGTGGTGGACAGACACTGAACAATGTTTAGAACTTTATCAGAGGTGGCACAACGCAGTTGCATCTCTCGTCTGCTGTGATAGTACAGGTGCGAATACATCTGTACCTGTTTCTCGACCCTCCAACCTTCATGTTGCTAATTTTCTGTTGATGTGCTGGATGTTTTTCTTCTGTCGGACTATAAACTGTAAGAATACAAAGTACGTCAAAAAAGATGGAGCTTCATGACACATCCACCAATTGTGTAATCATTGTAGAAAAAATGGTAGCTCAAAAGTGTTTTGAACTAAAAAGAACTTTGTTGTGGCTAGATTTGGTTTGAAATCAGAATACTGGAATTTGTAGGCTCTCAAAACAGTTGTTTACCACACAACCAAATGTATATTTGGGAACCTGACACAGCTCACCCTCAGTGACATAACTGTAAAGGGGTGTAAATAATGCCATTATACTACACAATAATGCCTTTTTAACGACAAGTGAAGGTACAGGGTCATGCACTTCAAGTGATGCAACGAGCTTGGCCTAGCGAACAATGGAAAGCCTCTGGCATTTGCTCCGACTCCAGCTTCATGGTGGAATTTTGCTTGTAGCCTGATGGGAAGAGAGTTGGAATTCTAGCTTAAAGGTTGCAGGTTCGATTTCCTGTACAGACAAGAATGCTGTGGGCGGGGTAAGTAATTAATTAGCACTCTCTTCCACTCTGACTGAAGTGTCACTGAGCTAGGTACCTAACTCTAGTTGCTTCTTGGGTGTTGCAGAAAATGGCTGCTCACTTCCCTAATTCTTGGGTGATGTGGCTGCTGAACATCAACTCTTAATATAACATTATTATTAAATCAAAAATGCACTTTTCAAAAGTACACTTGTGCATTATCATTAAAGTAGGTATCATTAAAGTACACTTAAATGGACATTTTTTATTCTCAAAAAACAATATATTTTTTATAGATCTCATTTGAAACTATTTAATTTGCTTCACAGACATATATTACTTAACAGACAAATATTATTTAAATTGACACAACAAAGACTGCTAGTAGTAGTGCATGCTAGTGAATAAAACGGCACAATTATACAATTACACCAACAATTATAGTCTATTCAAACACACAAAATCGTTATTTCAAATCAAATTAAATGTTTTTTATACACAAGCTGTTCCAAATTTAAGGCACTTGCTTCTAATAAATATAAGAACCCAGCATTGTCATTTTCATGATGCTGACATTTGTTTGACTTTAAAATCAATCTGAATAAGGACAATTAAACTGATGTTAGATTACATATGAAGTAAAGTATTTTTCTGGCTAATATAACATGATCACTGTGTGGGCAATGGTACAAACCCCCTGATCTTGTCCAGTAAAGCTGAAGGATTTTCCAAGAATGTTTGCAGACTGGCTCTGCCGTAGTACAGAGCAGACAGGAGCCCTGCAACAGACACTGAGAATATGAGTGAATGTAAGAAGCTCTGTGACTGTGGTTCTTCTCTGCAGCGTGTTTTCAGAGGCTTCATAACTCGATCCCACTGAGTCAGGATGGCCTGACGTGCACCTTCCCACTGGCCTGGTCCATGCAAGCGAAACTGGTATGGGGTGCAGGGCCCAAAGATGATTTTGAAAGCCAGTCTTGGGTCTGTCAGCAGCAACCTCGGGATAGAAGGACGGACACCCACTTGTTTAGCCAACTCATCCATGTAGGGGATGTAGTCCACCTGGATGGTGTGCCTCTGGCTGACCACATATCTGCATGAGAGCACAATCAAGAGTCATTAATCATACTGATATCGCATTTTATCTTTTAAAACTGTGAAAGTGATGTGTTTTGTAGTAATGTGAGGTGAAGTGCAGAGAACCTTCGAGCCATTGCTTCCTCTTTTGATTTAATGTCGTTCATCATTGCATTCATTGAAGGCAGTTTGCACAGTCCTGGGTCAACATGAGAGTTGCATACAGTTAATGCTTTGACATGTTTTATTACTTCAAAATCAATCTGAATAATCAGTGTGTAATATTTTAAAATAAGATAACGTCCTAATGTTTTAAGCATTGTCGTCCTTAGTTAGATAGTCAGGAAAAAATTGATGTGATTTTTAGGAAAATTAATCAAATCATTGGTGGGTGCTCTGGTGGGTGCCTGGAGGTTTACTGTCATGTATCAGGTGACTGATTCCAAAACTTTTGGAAAACTTCGGCCCAAGTGATTTTCAGAAACTCAGGTAACAGAGTGGTCATATGGCCATGAAAATCTGAGTTTTCACCTTATGATGTCAGTCAGTGTCATAGACTGTAAAATATATGGACGTAGTATCCGTGGCGTCACCCATAGGTTTCTAAAGAGCGCAAAAGAAGCCACAAGTAGGCACGGCCAACCGTCGCCATTTTGTTCACGCGTCATCACTCCCACGGCGGGATACCAAACAAGGGCAAAGAGGCGGAGAGTGAGCGGAGCTACATAAACCTGGCAATTTGCTTGGACCTGGTTCAGACACACTTTACTTTGGGAGAACGCTTAATACTTTATCACCTGTGACTCGTTTGTTTTCTGACCACTTGTGCTTGGTTGTATACTATATCAATAAAGTGTTTAGACTTTTAAAAACACTGCTGTAATACATTGAGCCACTAAACATTGTTCTTATGAGGTTTTTCAACAGGAGGAAAACGTGAATTACTTCCAAACACTTCAGATATAGTCTGTGTTAGTTAATGTAAGACTATTGATGAAATCCAGCATACACTGTATGACAACGCTTCAGATGACTGTTCTAGAGCCTACAGCTAATCAATCTGACAGATTCTGAAGTGCATTACAGCTCTAAATATAAATATAAACGATAAATGATCTTAAATAAAACAAATACATGTATAGAGATGGTATATAAGTATATATTTTTACTCACATGGGAAACGGAGGCCATGTGAATGGTTTGTGAGCACAATTAAGTGCACTCAGCATGCCATGCTATCTAATAATTGTAGGGAACAAGTCCAAAAGGCAGTTGACTGTGTAAAGCCACATAAAACAACACAGAAATATGATAAATATGCCGAATTCAGTGGCTAATCTGCAGGATTCAGCTGAGGTGACGTGACGGCGACCAACGAGACCTAGCTGTCACTCAAGTGGCCACTCCCATAATTATGCAAACTTAATATAACTTAATATAAAGGAAACAGATGAGTTATAAAAAAAATTCATCCCCCTCACAGTTGTCTTGAAGGGTAATATTAGCTGTATTAACCAAAATCTTTCTTTGTACCAGGCTGTAAACACCTTTTTTTCTGCTGTAAAGTTGGCCATTCTAACAGTGGGCTCAATTGAAATTTGCTCAAGCCAAGAGCGGCCAGGACTAGCGGAATTTTGGATGAATTGCAGTTTTAGTTACTTCCGTATTGGCTTCCTGAGGGAAAGCGGGAGGTTGCCGCTTGGTCAGTGTGTACACCAATGCTCCTTTCTGATTGGCCAACATGATTGGCCTTTACTTGTGACGTGATTGAGCTGAATTCCATGTGTTGCATTGATTTTGTTTGAACCTTACTCATGTGAATACTTAATTCTGCATTTGGTGTGAACCTAGCACAAAGGATTTTATTGCTGGCTCTTGGTTCAGCATTCCCTTAGTTGGTATGGCCTGATTTTTCTAAAGCAGTGGCTTTTTATGAACCAGAAATCAAGTAGAGGATTTTAAATATGCTTGAAATATATCATATAACGTATTAAAAACTTTCTGTATTTTTCTGTGTATCAACATCATGTTTGATACCTTTAAAAACACGTGTGGCCCAGCGCGCTTGCATCTCAGAGATGGGCATAATGGCTCCAAGAGGCTGGATCAGACCAATCACTGCTAAAGTTGAGCGCTCCAATCCTGGAGGATATACAAATTTGTACAGGGATACCTTGTTGTTTGAAACAGGGATCACATGTGAGGAAAGGAAGGGGAATGAGAAAGTGTAGCCTGTGGCAAACACCACCAGATCAATGTTATCTTCAACAGTGCCATCCTCAAACACCACACTAGATCCACGAAACTCCTGCACATTGGGCTTGACTGAGACAGTACCAGAGAGGATCCGGTTTGGCAAATCATCATTGACCATGGGATGTTGGCTGAAAAACCTGATAAATTAGCAACAGACGTAATATAATACATGTTGAATAGGGCAGATAATAAAACATAAAAAAGATAACATCATGAAAAAGTACAAATACTGAGACTAACCAATGGGATGTAAATATTGTTCTTCAGTATTCACAGTACCTGTGCTCAGGCTGCAGCCCATAGAGCTTATGGTCAAAGCGTTTATTGAGTCGACTCTCTCCCATGTTGTTGACAAATCCAACAGGCAACATTTTAAGAAACCAATTTTGTAATCTCCTATTAAACAACATATCTGATGGAATGCCATTGTCACCCACACGATTCAATATCCAAGATCCCTTTCGCGTGCTCAGATAAACCTGAAATAAAAATAGGGAAGGCAATTAGGTACACAAATTCCTTAATGAGATTATAATGACTGAAAAGCTATAATTATTTTATTTTGGCGTTTCACCTGTTTGGCCATTCTGCTCAACTCCACAGCAATATCTCCTCCAGAGTTTCCAATGCCAATCACAACTACCCTCTTCCCTCGCCAGTCTTCAGGGTTTTTGTAGTCACGACTGTGGAAGAATCTCCCCTTAAATGTGTCTATTCCTAAAGGGAGGATATGAACAAGTAAGCATTACTATGGAAAGCAGTGGTACTCAACCACTGGTTCAATTGGTACCGGGTCGCATAAAAAATCATTAATTATTTTCGTTTTATTTATTATCCGAGTCTTCTATTATCTGAATCTTTTTTTTTTAAAAAGTCTTTTATTTTGAAAAATGACCGTATTCTCTTGGTTACATCTCGTTCACTTGAGCAACCAAATTTAACCCACAAGAAGCTAAATGAATAAGAAACAGACGTCTTTGTAACATTTCTTTGCTAACAAGAAGGCCCAGTGAAGGACTTACAAACTGCCAAGGAATGGATCCGCAACCCATTTGTCAACAAATCTGGTGAATACAACATGGCTGTGAAAAGAAGATCAACTGCTGGGGATCTCAAATGACGGTGGCCTTTTAGGGGGGCCGTTCACATATAGCGACATTTTATAGAGTGCATGCAAGTTGGTTGTTTCCAATGGAAGTGTGCGCCTTGCATGCACAAGCGGCGTGATGCGCCCAGTTGAATGAATCCCGCAAGTCACGAGACAAAAATTGACCGATCAGCTTCAGCTTGTATGGAAAATACACATTTTGGTAAGACTAATTATCCCAGACAAAAACAGAACACCTAAACACTGCAATGCTTTGTAATTTTCTTCATAAATAAAACTTGTATCAGAATGACAGCTTGTCTTATCTTCTGAGAAAACGGTTGATGGTCACTTAGCAACCTACAACCTACATAACACCGCCACACCCACCCACCCCTGGTACAATTGTCAATCGTTGACCGGTCCGCGGTGATATGAAATTTGAGAACCTCTGATGTAAAGGATAGGATATTGATGTATGTAAATGCAATATATAAGGTCTGACAACAAGGCCTAGTGACTCTTGTACACCCAGAATGTTTTATTGACTTAACGTTGTTGTACTTTGCACACAATCTGTTTGCCTTATTTGTCACTGCACCTGGAAAGTCTTTTAGAGGAAGGTGGGGGTGACAGTGGTGACCAGTGCAGACCATCACAGCATCAAACACCTGCTTCTCTCTCTGACCATCCTTAGACTCGGTCTCTACATCCCACTGTCCAGAGTGAGGGAAGTCTGGTCTTGGTGTGACATGAAGGACTCTGGTCTGAGAAGCACAAAGCATGACCTGTAAATCTGCCATTATCCTTAGCTAATTTTGAGATGCATTCATAACTTCATGCTTTTTAGTGCCATAATAACTTTCAGTTCTGACCTGGAAACGGATGTGCCGTTTAAGTTGGAAGTTTTCAGCGTACATGCGGAAGTATTCCATGATGAGGGAGTTGTGCATGTAATTTGGGAAGTGAGCTGGGATTGGGTAATCACTGTAGCACATCATCTCCTTCGAAGTGTTAATAATCAGTGAGTGGTAAATGCTGGCTCGGCCAGCATCTGGATTTTCCTTAGATGGAAATACAGCATAAAAACATTGGATCAGGTTCTCTCTTGACAATTGACTTTTTATAAAACCAGATCAGTTTAAAAATTAATACATTTACAAAATGAAATTGATACATGCAGAGCACAATTCACATTTACAAAACACAATTTGTACATATGTAAACACAATTCACAAATTTACAAGTAAATAATATAATACATTTTTCATATTAAAATATTTTCACCAAATTAATTAGATTAATGTATTTATGAATCATGTCTTGAACTTACAAATTGGATTTGTGTATTTTAAATCCTATTTTGAGTTTATGAATTGAATTAGCACTTTTTTAAAATAGTTTTTTATATTTGCAAAATTTGGATGTGTATTTTTGAATCATGTTTTGAACCTACAAATCGGATTTTGTAAATGTAAAATGTGTTGTGGATGTATGATTTCTATTTTGTAAATGTATTATCTTTGAGACCCATTTGCCTCCATAATTTTCTGTAATGAGGTGTACCTCAGGGTTCAGTGCTGAGCCCTCTTCTTTTCTTTAAATTCACAACTTCAGTGGGCTCATGTGGAAAAGCTCACCTTAAACCTCCAAAGTCCTCCGATATCATCACTGGTCTCAAAACACACAGGCTCCAGCCCTTCATCTAGACAGCATTTGATGCAGGCCAGTCCAGAGGTTCCTCCTCCAATAATAGCAACACGTTTAGCCATGATGATCCACAACCGTCAGACTTCAGGCACGTTCAGGGGAGAAGAACTGAAATTCAATTGTAAAGAATATATATATATACACACACACAGTATATACACACAGTATATATATATATATATATATATATATATATATATATATATATATATATATATATATATATATATATATATATATATATATATATATACATATATATATATATACACACAGTATATATAAAGGGGGACAGTGGCAGTGCTGTCGCCTCACAGCAAAAAGGTCGCTGGTTGGACTCGGTCAGTTGGCATTTCTGTGTGGAGTTTGCATGCTTTCCCTGCGTTCGTGTAGGTTTCCCCCACAGTCCAAAGACATGCTGTACAGGTGTATTGGGTAGGTTAAATTGTCCGTAGTGTATGAGTGTGAATGAGTGTGTGGATGTTTTCCAGATATGGGTTGCGGCTGGAAGGGCATCCGCTGCATCAAATTGTGCTGTATAAGTTGGCGGTTCATTCCGCTGTGGCAACCCCGGATTAATAAAGGGACTAAGCCGAAGAGAAAATGAATGAATGAATGAATAAATGAAATTGCAATTTAAAGAATGTATTCTATTCAATAGTAATATTTCACTTCTTCAACAGAAGCATACGAAGAACCTATAAACATCAAAACTTAGTCAAGACTTGCCCAAAGATTATTGGTTTACCTCTGAGGAGTCTAACAGGGTTACATGAAAAGAAAGTATTAAGGAAAACTCAAAGTGTGCTAAGAGATGTAGCAATGTGTGCTCCCATCCTCTTTTTTTGTTTGTTTTGTTGCCCTCTGGAAGAAGGTTAAGAAACATCAAATGCTCTTCCAACAGATATAAATTTACCTTTGTTTCAAAAGCAATAAGGCTTAACAACACTACATTTAAGCAACTCTTAAATGTACCTTTTAAATAAATGGGTCTTTGCTATGTTTTTTTTACTATTTATGAAGCCATTATGAAGCATGCTGAATTGTGTTTTTTAATATTGTTTGCAAGTGATCTGTCTCTTTATTAGTTTGTTGTATCATGAAATGCCACTACCCTAATCCCATGGACCCTTCACTAAGCCTCGCCCTCCTTAGTTACTGTTGCTACGCCTGTCAAGCTTTACGTGCCTGGCACAGCTTTTTCAATGTGTGTGCGCCTTTTCAGTCATTGCCAGCAAGGGATATAATGTCATTTTTGGCTAACAGGTGAGATATCCGAGAAAGCCAGACAAGTAGTATGCGTTACAGGGGTATATTCACCACATAATAGGCAACCGATTAGAGAATAAATCAATCAAAATTAAAGTTAGCTTAGCCTAGCCGCCTCATACGCTAACCATTCAACAGCTTAGTTCTTGCTCATCAGGAGAGGTGACATTTAAAAATAATCTAATAATAATAAATTAAACCGTGACTTCTCTATTTTTAGCCAAAAAGCCTGAATAATTAATTGGTGTGCAATGAAATATAGCCTTACTAACCCGTGAGAAAACACGCATGACAGTGCTTTTACATAGTTCATTCATAGAAAGAACAGCCAGAAAGGGAAACTGATGGATTAGTGCCGAATATTAGCATCATTGACCCATAACAATGTACAGTAAGTTACCTATTACTCACAGTATGTTTGTGTGCTCTTTATAAATGACCGAAAAACAGCTGGGGGTAAAGTATATTGATCGCAGATGCTCAGTTTGTGATCATATCTCGGTTTTGTTCTGTTGATTTGTAATTTCAAATATTCGTAGTTGAAATAGATGGAAATATTAAGTTCAGTAAAGTTAGCAACAGATTCGCAGATTCGTATTTTCCGGATTAATAACTCATGTCATTATGATCTATTCGCTATTAGTATGACTACGTTACTAACGTTATGGCAAAGGCTTAAAAGGAGCATTAATCATAATATCGAGCGAAAAAAAGGAGTAAGACAACTGTGAAACATAACTTGCTTTGTGTTTTTGTAGGAAACACAGTTTAAATCTGTTAAGGGTAAGAGGTCTGTGAGTTATTGCCGCCTGTATATCACTGAATGTGTCAGGAATATCAAAACAAAACCAACTTATCTCCGATCCTTTAGCGACCCTTACACAGCTTGATCCACGCTGTCATTTCTCCTCTAGGGGTTTAGGTTTTGAAAAGGGAAAAAATTCCACCATCCCGTTCAAACTTTAAGGAGACCGGGTATCAGATTTGCACAATCCATATGTATTCGCTCGAAAGCTTGACAGAGCCACTGCGCGTAGCTACAGTTGCTAAGCCACGATTAGTGGATGGCGGTTTTTGAGAGTGGCTTTGCGAAGGATCCATGGTGGGATTAATAAAGGTGATAAACTTATTATATATACATTAGGCCCGTAGCCAGCATATTGAAAGGGAAGGTTCTTTTTCCTCAATAAGTGGACATTTTTTTCAGTTATTAACCTCTTTTTCTATTCAATTATAAGTACTGCATTTTGGTCACTTTTTAAGCACTAATTTGTGCTGGATTAGATTGTCGGATGGTGATCATCATACTTTTTGATGAAAGCTAAATTTCCTACAATTTTCATCCATTCATTCATTTTCCTTCAGCTTAGTCCAGGCATGTCCAAGCTCGGTCCTGGAGGGCTGGTGTCCTGCAACGTTTTGTTCCAACCCCAATCAGACACACCTGAGCTAGCTAATCAAGCTCTTACTAAGCTTTCTAGAAACATCCTGGCAGGCGTGTTGAGGCAAGTTGGAGCCAAAATCTGCAGGTCACCGGCCCTCCAGGATAGAGTTTGGACACCCCTGGCTTAGTCCCTTTATTTATCTGGCAGAACAAACATAGGCACAGCAGAACAAACCGCCAACCTATCCAGCATATTTTACACAGTGGATGGGAAACACCCATACACACTCGTACACTACGGCCAATTTTGCTTACCCAATTCACCTATAGCACATGGCTTTAAACTGTGGGGAAAACCAGAGCACCTGGAGTAAACCCACGCCAACACGGGAAGAACATGCAAACTCCACAAAGAAATGCTAACTGGCCCAGCTGGGACTTGAACCAGCAACCTTCTTGCTCCTACAATTTTGTTAAACCATAATATTTTACCACAAACAATTTGTTTATAAATGTGCATTTATACTATCAATTATTAATAACTTTTAATAATGTTATGAAATTTGTAAATAATTTTTAAAAGGTTTGAATAAGAAAAAACGCTTTTTTAATTAAAATTTATATTATTCATCATTAAAAACAAAACAAAAAAACTATCATGAAACGGTTTAAAACCTGTTTTAAATTAAAAGCCATAGCCTATAGGCAAATAACAAACTGGCCAGCTCATTTCCCTAATTCAGAATTTGTCCACTTGAATAATTAAAAATTTAGTCTGTCAGTGTGAAAATAACTGATCGAAGAAGTCTAACAATTTATGATGATATACTATTAAAAATGGAAAAAATTAGCTGATATAGGGGCCAAATTCTGGACTTTGTCAGTGGGGCGTCGGCCTTTCGAACCAGTTGAACACCTCTGGCTACGGGGCTGAAAATGTGCATTATGTAGATTATTTTGGAATGGGATATATGCACACACTTTTAATTTCAGTCAGTCAGCCCCAGGAGTTCATATGAATTGTCATCCAATACAAAATCACAAAGTTTAAGATCTGATTTATTTAAAAACCGTGATCTTCACTGCTTGGCTGAGATACAATATAAAGTGGATATAAAAAAACAAAAACAAGCAGCACTGCAAATAAATTCTATTTTCTGTATCATGTTTTTAAAATATGGAAATTCATTTTACCCCAGTCTTTTCAATGGAGTTTTACATTAGCCTGATGACAGCGCCGGCGTTGGTTTTTCGTCTCTTTTTACGCTTTAACAACCAAATGGATGCTTAAATCTATGACTGATTATATTTGAATTACATTAAAACATTGATGTTGTAAAAGGAGCCTTATGAAATTTAAAATAGTCACATAATCCTTTCACTGGAAGTTCATCATTGGCTGAAAAACACTATGTGCATATAACCCAGCATCTTGGTAAAAATTGGTGAAGCATCCTGATGAAATGAGAAAGATTGTGGGAAAGGCATTGGTAAGGAAGTGGAGGGAGAAATAAGAATCCAGTAATATAATTCATGAGAAAATGTTTATCAGCATTTTTAAAGAACATATCAAAAAGAAAACTTATGCAGATAGCATTTGTTTACTATGAGTTCTTGCAAAGAAAGTTATTCTTGTCATTGTCACTCTTAATAAATTGTTTTTTTTTTTTTGTTGATCCAAACTTTTATTTATGTTTAATAAATTAAATATACTGTATACACTTAATCCTTTATGCAGCATATTTATTAATTATTAATTGTAGTAAAAAATCTTTTAATTTTGTCAATTGTGTAAAACCTTAAGCTGTGGATTTTTCTTTAATGTCAAAAATCATTAGACTGTAAAGTAAAATATCCAGTTTCACTAGACATTTTGTAAATTTCTACTATAATTCAAAACTAACATAAATATAGGCTTTCAAAAATGTATGATTAGTAATGTGCATTACTTAACACTTCATTTAAACAAATGTGATTAAAGGTGATTTATTTAGATTTTTATTTTACCCTCCCAGATTATCTAACAGTTGTATTTTATACAAATAACATTAATTTGTCCAATCCTAACATCAATTAAAAGCTTATTTTTTCAGCTTTCATGTGATGTGTAAACAAATCTACTCATCGACACCGATGACTGGTTTTGTTGTCCATGGTCACAACTGAGGCTTTTTTGTGAAAGCCTATGAAATAATGGTCAACAATACAGATAACCATTGCCGTTAAAAAGTACAAAAAGCAGCAAAAAAAAAAAAAAACATTACGCAGTCAATGTCGTTTTATTCATCGCTGTTGAATCATGTCTAACGTTACGCAGTCTTGATTTGCAAACTGAATTGCAAAAGCGATGAAAACAACAAACTTAAGCACGAACCCTCTATTTAGTGAGGCAGGGATAAAATAACATCTACAAACCGTAAACGTTAGAGAAGTCACGTTATATAAATACACCCGTTTCAGACGATAAGTGATAATACAGTAAAAAAAATAAGTTTGTGGCGCACTTTACCTCAGTGTGCAGCGGCAGTAGATGTCCGTCAGTCTACTCGAGCCCTTCAGCTACACAACACACTTCCACTGCTGGAGACCACACCCTCAAATGGAGAAGGGGAGGAGACTCTGCCGCCATTCACTATGGTAAGTAGGCTAATGCTGAATAGTCTTTCCTACAGTGCATTGAAAATCTGTGTATTACTTTGGTAAAAATGGTAAATATCTACATTTTAATCCTACATTTTAATCCTATATAAAATAATGCATAGCATAGCTTAGAAGCAGTCAAAATGCATTCATGTTGGCTACATATTAACAGTGTTGGATGTAATTAGTTACTACTTGTAACTTGTTGCTGTAATTATATTACTTTTTTCTGCGGAAAAAGTAAAGGATTACTTAACATTTTAGGTCATTTAATAAGAGTTACCTATAATTGCTTAAATACTGCAAAGTAATTCAACAGTTCTGAATAAAGGAACAGATATAGTGGCGTGATCAGGGGGCCCGCATCGTCGCACATATATATATATATATATATATATATATATATATATATATATATATATATATATATATATATATATATATATATAATCCTTTATGCAGCATATTTATTAATAATTATTTGTAGCAAAAATATTTTTTAATTTTGTCAATTGTGTAAAACCTTAAAATAATTGGGGATTTTTCTTTAATGCCAAAAATCATTAGACTGTAAAGTAAAATATCCAGTTTCACTAGACATTTTGTAAATTCTTACTATAATTATAGGCTATCAAAACTAGCATAAATATAGGCTTTCAAAAATGTATGATTAGTAATGTGCATTACTTAACACTTCATTTAGACAAAAGTGATTAAAGGTGATTTTGTCAATATTTAGATTTTTATTTTACCCTCCCAGATTATCTAACAGTTGTATCTTATACTAATAACATTATTTTGTCCAGTAATGTCGCTTTACAGCTAGGATTTGAATGATTCTTTAGCGTAAAACAGGTTATTTTGCCTACATTTTAAGATTATAAGGCTGAACGTGACATGCAATGACATGTTATATACAATGAGATCTTCCTGCAGTATTAAAGTCTAAAGTATTTCTCTGTTGCAGTAAGGATATTGCAATAATTAACCCTGAAGAAAGCAATTTGCTAAAAAAATTAGAGGGTTTCGGAATGGTGGCCGAAAAATTGATACATCTCTAATCTCAATACACTGTTAGATTTCCATTGTTGCAGAATTCTGCTGTGTGATTGGCTTAGATCAATATGGATTTAAAAAGTCCAGAGCTTATCATTGCTATTGACATAAATTTTATAGCAATTCAATATGATATTGTTTATTGGGCCCAGGCTTACTAAGAACTGCTATGGAATTCCATGAGGCTTGAGGTTGACTCCATAAACTTTTAATCAGAGAAGATCAGCTACAAAACCAGTTGTTCAACTGTCCCAGTCACACACCCTGAGGCCCCCTCTCTGCCCTCTATTTTACCTTCTTCATCAGATCAGCCCACAAACCCAGCTCCACACAGAACCACCAAGTTCTCAATAAATAGTTCTCACAAAAATGTGTGATTGGTAAAGTGGTATAAATTTCACAGTAATGTTTTACAATTCCTCTTATATCTGTTGATTTGGGTTTTGACTTTGATATAAGATATTTGCCAGATGCTCCACTCCAGGGAAAATAGTTTACACATCAACTGATTACCAGACAAGGGTCTTTTGTGAAGTTTTTATTGTCCTGAATTTATGGCTATTTGTTCTGAGTTGAGCGTTTAAGCATTTGAATCTCTGAGCTTTTGCATCAAGACTTCCCAGCAAGCATATTTTGTTTTTAAAAGATGTCTAATAGATGTCTAATAGACCTCTAAGCATGGTCGTCTCGGCTAAAACATTTGCATGGATAAATTTGAGCTGTTAAAAATCTAATAGACGTCTAAGAATAGGACAAAACTAAACTAGTCATCAAATAAACAGAAATGAATGACTTTACATATAACATCTTTCTAATCTGCCTATTTTACAACTAAGGCTCTATTTTGACGGTCTATGCGCAGAGCGCAAAACGCAGGGCGCAAACGCTTTCAGGGCGTGTCAGGACGTGTTTTTCTAATTTAAGGACGGGAAATCTGCTTTACGCCTTGGCGCATGGTCTAAAAGGGTTGAGTTTATTTTCTTAATGAGTTATAGGTGTGTTTTGAGAATAAACCAATTAGAGTCTTATCTCCCATTCCCTTTAAGACCCAGCTGCGTCGCGCCATAAGCGCATTTGCTATTTACAGGACGCAAAGTAAGTCTAAGTGGAAAAAATGAGCATTTTACAAGCAAACAGTTAACAGTTTTTTTTTTTTTTTTTTACATAAAACTGTTAAACAGAGCATTTACTGCATGAGAATGAGAGATAATGGATCACTTTCACTTTCGCTCTTGGATAGGGAAACCTTTATGCACAGACATCAATTAGCCTACAAATAAATACTATTGTTTGTTAAGCGCAAATATTCGTTTTAAAACTATTTCTAAATTCAGTTCTAATTTCCAGCAAACTAATAAATTAACAATAATAACAAAATGTGCTCAAAAACCTGAGTTATACCCTAAAATACATGCTGTGCCCCATATGGTCTAAAACCTGACAGGTGGGCAAATCTAAGCTTGTTTTTAATAAAACAAATATACATATGGATATAATAAATAATACTGCTAATAATAATAACATTATACAAAAGCATATTGTTATGAATGAACTGAAAAAGCCTCCCGAGATGAAGAAGACATAAAAGCAGTGATTTTTCATATTTATGTAGGCTAGAAAATAATATGTTTTGTATTATTTATTTATATTCTATATCTATTCTTATTATATCCTATATATATCCTTAATATTTAAATTTTTTCATATGTAAAGATATATGCCTATTGCTCTCTTGTGCGTATTAAGCAGTGCGTAAGCGAGGCGCAAGTCTGTGCCGGAGTTTAGACCGGGTTAGTTTTGGTCTAATGAAAAATCTATTATAGTTTCTCAAAATACCAACGCACCAGCGGTCCGCCTCAGAACGCCTCCTTTTTTAGACCAAAATGCCTATGGGCGCACAACAGAGAGCTAATGCATTTGCTATTTAAACAGCGTAGCGCAACGCCTCAAAATGACTCTTGCGCCAAGCTGAAACTACCAAAAGGTTATTGCGCCGCGCCTTGTGCCACACTGCGCCGGGTGAATGATAGGGCCCCTAGTCTAGCTTTGGGCTTTTCTTAGACGTCTAATAGATTTTCACTGTCAGCCCAAGTTTAGCCTTGATTTAGCCTGTCTACATTTAGATGTCTATTAGACGTCTATTAAACACAAAATTGTTTGCTGGGTTATATGTTGCAACATATTTCATCCATCTGAACTCTTAGATTTATCTTTGAGTAATTGATGTTGTGCAGTTACTTCTGAACTGGTCTTTATTGTTTGATTCTGTAATTGGTATAATAATACACTTTCATCTGGAAAATAAAATGTTACATTTTGATTCCTTCTGAATTCTCCTAAAAAATCTTTTATATCCAGTAGATTATGTGGAGTCTGCACTAACACTTTTTACTTTTTTAGGTTTTAAGGCACATTTGACTGTACGGAGTAGTGTGGAATGGCAGCATTTAATCATCAAATCCCTGATATAAACAAGTTGTATGGACATTATTAGCTACTCTTTTACAAGTGAGCAGGAGGCAACTGGACTAATTGGGTATTAGTTATCCCTGCATCCTCTGACTGCCATGCAGGCACAGGACATCAACATGACGTCATATTGATGCTGTACCCCAACGTACCCCAACATTGTGGGATGTTGAATTTTGTTTGGAAATAAAAATCGGGTTGACGTTGGATCCCAACATCAGGCTGACGTTAATGTCCAATGTCTAACTTAAAATCAACCAAATATTAACTTCTAATAATGTTACACCTTGAAATTGTGTGGATGTTCCCACTGTGACATCTATCAGACGTTGGATTTTGGTCACTTTTCAACGCAACCTAAAATCAACTATATTAACGTAATTTGACTATGTTATTGGACATCAAAATAATCCTAGACAATGTCCTAGACTAAATTGTCTTAGACTAGACGTTGCATTTTGGTCACCTGACCTCATGACCCAAATCTAATCTAATAACATCTTATGATGTTATGTGCCTGCTAGATAACTTCAGAGTGTCGAGATAGTGTCCGTGAGAAGACACAAAATCCCAGAGCGTGCAACTATAAGTGGCGTTTGGTTCCTAATGAGCATATAACTGAAGAGTATGGGATCAGATACAAATCTAAATTCTAAATGGAGTTATAAATGATGAATATGATCGGCTCCTGCAATTAAAAATACAAGGATGATGAACACCTACTGTTATTAAGCAGAAACAGAAGAGAAACACAAAACTACTGCTGACTTCAATCACAGCCTTAAGCTGAGGTCACACTAGACTTTTCTCCCCACTGACTTCCATTCATACGCACACAAATGCATCAGACCGGAAACGCAGAGTCATGCATCAAGTTTCGCAGTTCGCTGTGGTGCAAAGTTCAAGCTTGATGAACTCTGACCTGCAAAATCGCATCACTTGACTACGTAAGACCAATCGAGGATCAAAACATGACCTCTCTGGACAGAAATTGAAAACATGGAGCAATCGCTCGCTTTTTTAATGTCTAATCATCTTGTTTAATCCCGCCCCTTTTCGCAGTGCCGTACGACAGAATTTCAGAAGATCAAACTCCATGATCACAGCTTTAGACAAAATCAGCTGAAATATAATACATTTAATCTATTAAAATCTCAGCAGAGAATCAAATTGATCAATAAGCAACTCCACAAACAGCAGCTTTACTTATTACTAATCTATTTGCCTTATTATAAAGAGGGTCCAAATACTCTCTGAGCTGAATAATTTTTACTTAAAGGGTTTTGCTGTGTAGTAGTATGTTTTTAGTTTGGTTTGGTGTATTGTTAGTATTCTAGTATGATTAGTATGTTTGTAAGTATGTTTCTAGTATGGATTGGTATGTTG